ATCACGTCGTTGAGATGTCTCAAAGCGCTTCACAGAATATAATGTAAAGTGGATTGACTGAGTATTTTGAGGGCGAAATGCCACAGCCAAATTGCGCATGGCAGTGTCCCACAAACACTCTTGGATTGAGTGACCAAGTTTGTTTTTGAGGGATTATTACTCCTGGAAAACGATTGACTAAATGGCTTCCTACTTACTGCTAAGGTTTTGTCCCGACTGGGAATCGAACCCGGGTCCTCTTGCTAGCAAGACGAGCCTGCTAACCACTACGCTACAGGACTCTCTATATTTGTAGTGCCCTTCATGTCAGGAAGACATCCCAAAATGCTTCACAAGATTTAGTGTGAAGCGTAGTGACTGTTTTTTTAAAATACTTCCATGCCTTGCCTCTACCTCTGTAATCTCCTGGTGCCCTGCCCACTCCCTCTGCTCCAGCGCTGGGTTCTGTCTGCTCCACAGCACCCTCAGACACGGAAGCAAAGGGCAATTACAGGACCAATACCAGATTGCGTTTCTTTATCCTGAGGGGAAAGAACAACTAGAACAGGTTAGCAGGAAGCCCTGGAAGCTGGGCGCTCACTGTGATTGGAGGACAGTAGGAAAACAGGAAAGGGAGAGGCCATTCAGCCCCCTGAGCCTGTTACGCTATTCTATTAGATCGTGGCTGATCTGTACCTCAACTCCAAATACCCACCTTTGTTTCATAACCCTGGACACACTTACCTAACAAACATCTATCAACCTTAAGTGTTAAAAATTCGTCTGAACCTTGCAGTCTTGTGATCAGAGCAAAGTCTGGTGATGGCTGGGAACTGGCAGGGTTTGAGTGCACAGAGGCAGCAGGTAGCCCTGGAGGGGTAGCACAGAGACGCCAGAGCCACTGTTTAGGGTCTCTTGACATTTCCAGGTCAGACAAACACCCAGCGCCTTCCTAATTCACTTCCCAGCACCATGCTGGCATGGTATAATTGGAGATAATCACGAGTATGTCAAACTACATTTCAGGAGAAAATACGATTTGCTGGTAATAGATGCTTGTAAATGTTAATGGAAATTTCCTAAGAGTGAAAAGCTTTAATAGAAGACCTGAGCCGATTGTGCTGCGAACAATAAGGTGTTTAATTGGAAGCTCGGGATTGTCGTGTAGCAAAAGATTGGTTCCTACAGATACTTACCTCTCTGTGCGTCTGCACATTCAGGGAACACGTCTCCACAATGCACCCAGGGGCACTGCTAGATGCAGGGTATTATAAAAATAATAATAATAATCCTTGTTTTTGATGTAGCGCTTTTTCGTATTGTTTAGATGTCTCAAAGCTCTTCACGGAATATGCTGTAAAGTGGATTGACTGTATATTTAATGGCGGAAACTCAGCAGCCAATTGCACACAACATTGTCGCACAAACAGTCATGGAGTAAATGAGCAATTTTTTTTTGAGGGATTATTACCCCTGGAAAGCGATCCGCCAATCGACTAACAACCGGGTTCCTACTTGCTGCTAGGTAAACACAGGCGCGTGGAGTAAGGAAACTTGCCCAAGGTTTTGCCTTGCCCGGGAATAGAATAGAATAGAAATAGGTTCTTTCATTTGCGAGGCGAGTGCACTAACCACAACGCTATGAGATCCATGAAGTGAATGGCCCATTTTATCATGGGGTAGGGGGGAGGTGTTCGCCAGATAACTGTTGGCCAGCTTGCTACAGCACAGTATGAGTGTGATGAGGGACCCCTCCTGTACTCTGTGCTGCTATTTAGCTCTTTCTGCGATGTGTAGCCAGTGTCATTGAACCTGCCTCCAATTGGAATTTCCCACCCGTTGTGTCTAGAATAAGTGAGATTTATTTATGTTATCCAGGAGTCTGACACACACGTAAATCCATCACCTGCTTAACAAGAATAACAATGACTTGCATTTATATAGCGCCCCTCACGCAGGGTAGAGTCCCAGAGCGGTTGACAGTGGCGGAGCATGATGCCGAGCCTGGGGGAGGAGGGAGGTGACCGTAATCACACACTCGGGGCGGAGGCTGATCACACACACTCCGGGGGGTGGGGTCTGATCACACACTTGGGGGGGTTGCGGGGGGAGTTGGGGTCTGATCACCCACTCGTTGCGGGGGGATGATCACACACTCTCTGGTGGGTCTGATCACACTCTCTCGGTGGGGGGGTGTGGTGGCTATCACACGCTCTCCCTGTAGCACACACTGATTCACATGCACATTGCCGTGGAGTCCTTTTTTATTCAGAGTTTGTTAACCACCGCTGCTCTCCTATCTCTCACACAATGGCTGTATCCCCCGCCAGCTGGCTCTTGGAATATTAATCATTTTCCTATTTTGAATATTCACAGCCCCCGGGGGGCATGTTTGAGAACATTAACAAGCAGTGAGTTTCCCAGGGGCCGTTGTGACAGTGTGTCAGGGAGGCGCAAGATGAGGGGTTTAATGTTGTGGCTAATCTACATTGTGTTGGGGCTCGCGCTGTGTTTAGGTTGGTGATGACGATGCCCTGAGCACCTGGCTCTAATCAGATCCTGAAATATCTCAGCTTCGGACTTTATTAGAATAATAATAATAATATAATAATCCTTGCAGTTGATATAGCGCCTTATCACGTGGTTGAGACGTCTCACTGCGCTTCACAGAATATACTGTAAAGTGAATTGTCTGTGGATGTCCTTCCATTGTGGAAAGCACTTTATGAACGTAAATTTGTATTGTTTGATTTATTTTGTTCAGCCGGGGTGTTTGACACGTGGAAACTCATTACCCTGCTTGAGAGTATCCAAACCAAACTGAAATTTCCATGTATCCCACCTACACATGGAAATTTCAGGGATAGGTTGTTGGAATGGATTGTGCACTCTCTCCCTGGAGGGAAACATCCCACTTACCTAATTCGGAGAGTATTAGGCGAGGGTTGACAAGAACCAGAGCCTGGGGACCCCAGATTGTGCATTAGGGTAACTGCTGGAGTCTAACCGGCTAAAACCACATAGGGTGTCATTGATATCACTGTCTGGCAAGCTTTCCTGCTGCTTGTTCAGCTCAGACCACCCTCTCCATTAGAGATTTGGCTTGCAGGGTTAACAGGAGCTGAGTGGGAGGATTTCCTGCGCCAAGTGACTGGTCTGCCCTTCCAAGTCTTGCCGATGAGCCAGGCTGGTCTGTGGCATCATCAGTAGTGTCCTGGAATACTGTGGACCCACTTGACTCAGGAACCAGAATAGAGACCATCACAGTCTATCCGACATTCCAGATCAGCTCCAAGGAGGCCTGCTTACCTCCTCTCCAAGGAGGATAGTTACTAGTTGGTCATTCAACATCTGACAAACGCTTGTATTGTTTTGTATGAAGGAGCCATGCTCAGTGCCAGTGACTCTGCCTGGCTGTTCCCAGTCACACACCTTCCCTGACCCCATGCCCGCTCTGGAGTTGGATGTTACTGGTGCTGAGAGCTCCCATGTAAAGGCGGTGAGGAGCTGAGCTGAACTCCTGTCACAACAGCTGCTATGAACCCTGTCAACTGGCACTGGGAGTCCCGCAGTGGTGCCGTGTGAAGTTGTTCAGTGAGTTAGTGAGTTCCACAGAGGCCAAGGCAGCATGGCCCTGTCACCTCCAGGTTTACCTCAGCTCAGGCAATGTCTGAGTGTTTCTCTCTGACGGCAGTGAGTGTGTGCACTGATCCAGCTGCCTGCCTGCCGGCCGGGGCTGAGATCCACAGCACAGAGCGGGTCACGATTCACAGAGAATAGGTGCTTCTGCACCCAGGGCAGGAAAAGGGCAGGGCTGATGCTGTGAGAAGTGGGGGGGGTGTTGGGGGCGCTCTGCTCCTCTGGGCTCCAGGTCCAGTATATTTTCCTCTCTCCACCCGAGGCTCTGTGCATTTCCCGTACAGTAACGGCTATAAGTTGAGTCTCAGAGGAACGCTTGCAAAAATACATCAGTGAGAGCCCTGGAGGGTGTTTAGCACATGAAAGCCTCGCCTGGATCATCTTGCTTGCTAGGGGAGTGAGTTTACCACTACGCTACTCAGCTTGGGGGTAGTTTACAGGCTTTACGTGGAGTCCTGTGGCTCAGTTGTTAGAGCACTCGCTTTGCAAGCGAGAGACCTGAGTTCAATTCCCGGCAGGGCGAAACCTTGGGCAAGTTTCCTTACTCCACACAGAGCCTAATAATAATCCCTCCCAAAACAATAATAAAAAATTGGTCATTTTCAATCTACGACTGTTTGTGGGACATTGCTGTGCGCAATTGGCTGCTGCGTTTGCCCACAAATACACAGTCAATCCACTTTCCAGTGTGTTCTGTGAAGCGCTTTGGGACGTCCTCCCGACGTGAAAAGCGCTATATCAAATGCAAGGATTATTATTATTATTTACCTGCTGTGCTCTGGCCCCCCCTCCCCCCCCAGCCACCAGACAGAATGCATTTCAACAAGTATCTCTGCCGAAGGTGCTCTGATGTCTGTGCCCAAACTCATTTCCAAATCTGTGCTATAAAGGCATCAGCTCCATAATGTCCCTGGCTTGGACAGCCTTCTCTCTTTTCAAATAGCACCGTTGGGTGTGTCGTATGAACAGGCAGGCAGAACAGTTTAATGTCTCATATGAAGGACGACACCTCCAAAAATGCCGCACCACCCCAGGACTGCGCTGCAGTCTTAGCCTCGACTGTGGGCTCAAAGCCCCAAAGTGGTGTCTGAACCCACAACCTTGTGACTCGGAGGAGAGAATGCTGCACTCTGAGCCAGGCTGCCACCTATTGCACAAATGGGTGGGTCTGTGTGCAATGAGGGGGTGGTGGGGGAGGGGGGGGTTCGTGTGCGTTAGGGGATTTGTGTGTGATGGGGGTTCTGTGTGGGAGTTTGCGCATGCGTGAGAAGTGGGTCGTGTGTGAGGGGGAGTTGCGTTCAGGGGAGGGCTGGGTGGATGCATGGTGTGTGTGTGTGAGATGAGGACAGCAGCCCACTTACTCTTGTCTCTGTCTCTTTTAGCCCTTAGGGACAACCGGATCGAGCTGGTGCGTTCCTCCTGGCAGGAGCTCAGCATCAACATCAGTGAGGTGGCTCTGTCAGACGAGGGCCAGTACACTTGCTCTCTCTTCACCATGCCCGTCAAGACCTCCAAAGCCTTCCTCACTGTGCTGGGTGAGTGTCCCCGGGCTCAAGTACACAGGGGATCCTGTGAAACGCTTTGCGACATCCTCCTGATGTGGAACTCCACCCTTTCATCGCATGCAGACACCTCCTCCACAAAACCACCCAAGCCAGAAGCACTGCTTTCCCCAAATACCAGGCTTTCGTTGGCGGGGATTCAGGATTCCCCAACCCACCAGTAATAAGCCTCCTTACATTTGGTACAACAGGCGAGGGAGGCAGCTTTAGCCTCAACTAGGCTCAGGCAACTCCCGAGGACACGATTGTCAGGTTGGATTATGAGCTCAAATCCTGACTGCAAAATCCTGACTGATTCCCCCTCCACTGCCCCTCTGTGTACAGAAGTTCCTCCTGGTGTCTGCCCCTAATCTAGATTTGCCATAGCTGACACTCCAGCTGCAGTGCATTGTCGGAGATGCTGTCCTTCGGAGGAGACGTTAAACTGAGGTCCTGTCTGTGCCTGTTCAGATGAACGTTAAAGATCCCGTGACAGTACTCTAAAGCATGAGGGAGTTTTTCTCTCTCTCCCGGTGTCCTGGCCAACCATCCCCCAGAGAAAATCGGTCACACACTCCATGGCTGTTTGTGGAGCTGTGCCCAAACAGGCTGCAGCTTTTGCCTACAAAATACACAGTCACCCACTGAACAGAAAAAGTTAGCGAAGTGCGTTGAGATGGTTTTAGTTGGTCAAGCACTGTACGAAATGCAAGGAATATTATTATTTTACAAATTCTGCTTCAATAGAGGCGATGGGGAGCACGGAGCAATGAGGAGACTTGCTTTTATACCGCGCCCTTCACGCAGGGGGTAGCGTGTCAGAGCGCTGGACGGTGTTGGGTTGGACAGTGAGCGAGGCAGAGAGGGGAGGCGAGCAGTTAAATCTGGAGGGGTGACGGGGTTAGGGTGGGGAGAGTGCGTGTGAGTGGGGACTGTAGTGTAGCTGCTAACCAGGCTCATCTGTTTGCAGGGGTTCCACAGACGCCGGTGATAAGTGGCTTCAAAGGACCATTTAATGAAGGGGACCTGGTGGAGCTGACCTGCAGCACGTCCGGCAGCAAACCCGCGGCTGACATCCGGTGGTTCAAGGACGAGAAGGAGATGAAAGGTACAAGGCATTACACGTTGGCATTACACTTTGTCATTACTTCCAAACTGGTCACCTCCAGCAAAGGGGCTCTGAGCTGTGATCTGACAGCTAAATCCAGTGTGTGTAGGGATCAACCAAACTTCATAGTAATTACACATAGGAGAAGTCATTCATGCACATCCTGTCTGTGCTGGTGCTCTCTCCCCCACTGGAGCTCTCTAATCTAATCCCATTCCCTACTCTCTGCCCATCATGTCTGCGCTGGTGTTCGTTCCCTCACTGACTGATTTAGACCACGGTGAGACAGGTTGTCTTTACTTTGCTGATGATTATGTTATTGCTATAGTAATCCCGCTGAGCGCTCCAGAAACAGAAATACTTTACACAGATAAGGGCATTGAACCCATTGCGCCACTGATCTTTGTATTAAGGTTTGTATTAACCCATTTCTCAGCTCTCTCCCCAAATCCTGCGCTGTTTATCATCAGCAAGGTATCATCAGAACGGATTCACTCTCGGGCCCTTTCATAACGCTCCTTTTTAAATACTTTGGATACGTGCATTGAGACATTCTTTTGCACAAAGCGGGCTGTGAGAATGCAGTTTGTTATTCCATTCACTATTAATGCTATTACACTCTCAACCTCAGCATCCTCCTGTGGGGAATCGTTCCCTGTTCCAATAACCCACAGCGCAATATTAGCAGCATACAGTCAGTAACAGGTGCTCACTCCCCCGCTGGAGCTTCTACTCTAATCCCATTCCCTGCTCTCTCTGCAATTGTGTCTGCACTGGTGCTCGCTCCCCCACTGACTGATTTAGACAGGTTGTCTTTACTTTGCTGATGATTATGATATTGCTATAGTAGGAGGAACTTCTTCAGGCAGAGGCTGGGGAGAGCGTGGGACGCACTGTCAGAAGCCGGGGTTGAAGCAAATTTGATGTGTACATGAGGGAGGAGGGAATAGAGGGGGATAGGAGAGGGGAATAGGAGAAGGGATTAGCAGAGGGGATGAGGAGAAGGGAATAGGAGAGGGGATGAGGAGATGGGATGAGGAAAGATAAAGGCTTGTAAAAGTGGCACCAGCACGGACTAATAAGGCTGAATGGTCTCTTTCTGTGTCGTATCACTCTATGGGACCTTCTGTACAAACCCTCACCACCCCAGGCTTCCAGTGACTAGCCTGACCTGATGAGCAGTTGATGGGAATAAACCGGCATTTGTTACCCAGATAGGATCCACCACTCTTAACAAGCTTGGCACTTTAGCCACATCTCCAGATGCCCCAGCCTCTGTGTGAAGTTCCTCCTGAATTCTATTTATGATATCCGTTGCTGACTATCTTTTATGTAGGCTGCTCGGCCTGGCTTGCTTTAATTAGCTCACAGTCCAGTTCTGGTGTTTATTCTCTCTAACATTCAGGTTAAAGTATCGATTTACCATCAGGCTCAGCTCCTCGCAGAGTGTGAAGTGCTGAGAGGCAATGTGATAAGGTGCTAGATCAAATGAGGCCACCGTAATTAATTTGCTTTCCCATTTGTAGGCCTATCTGGCTGAATTTCACACATTCTCTCCATTTTACTGCTGTTTCCATTTGAAACCATTTATCAGCATACATCTATTCATGAAATTATTTAATTCTTCCTTTAAAGTCATGATGAGCGTGAAATTGATATTCTCTCAGGCTTTAAAAACATGCCCACAGAGGCACTGGTGTGCTTGACTCATCCTCCAGAATGGAGCAGTTATTAGGCAGGTTAGGGACGTGGGGAACAAGCTGGGAAGTGGGATTAGTGAAACAGACGTCATAAAAACACAGGGTTAGCTGTTTTTTGGTCAGCCGGGTGTCTGACACGTGTGGAAACCCATCGCTGGGTTAAAGGTAGCCAAGCTGAGAATTTCATGCATCCCATCTACACATGGAAATCCCAGAGATAGATTGTTGGAATGAAATGTGCATTCTCTCCCTGGAGGGATGCATCCCGCTCACCTAATATCAGCAAGTTAGTAATAATGATAATAATAATAATCCTTGCATTTGATATAGTGCCTTAACACATCTTTGAGTCACCTCAAACCGCTTTATAGGATACACTGTAAAGTGTAGCGACTGTGTGTTTTGTGGGCAAAACAGCCACAGGTTGGCAGGAGCCAAGGCTTGGTTACACCAGTGTGTGCTTTGGGGTAACGCTATATCAAATGCAAGGATTTATTATTATTATTGTTATAAAGTCCTTCACAATGCTGGATGGGTCTCCAAGCTGGCCGGAAGAAGATGTCCCGCAGAGAGGTTGGCAGCCACGGGCTGGCAGTAAAATGTGGATTGTGCAGAACTTCCTTTGAAGGTTAATGACTCTCGTAGTCTTTGCTCACACAGCCACGACGAGTACCTGATTGAGCACCTGACTGAGCTCAGAAGGGATGCGTGTGGAGGGAGTTGAGCAGATTTCCAATTGCACAGTTCAGTGGCTGGAACATCGCTGGGGAAGAGAGGCCCTGATACATTACCTTAATACGCACCAACTCCACTGCAGAGGCTGCACATGAACTTCACTAATTGTGACTAAGCCAACCATCTCATTGCTGCTTCAAGCTAATTTGCAGAGGTATCAGGCATAGTTAGCAAAGGGGAAATGAGAAGATTTTTTATGCAGAGGAGTTAGCTTGAGGAACACCGTGCTGATAAGGTAGTTCAGGCAGAATGTGTATTATTTTTTAAGAGGGAACTAAATAGATGTATTTGGTGCAGTGGTCTTAGGCATCACGGAACAGGTGGATAAAATTCTTCAGGGGGAAGGGGAGCATCCAGAAGTGGTGGTCCAGGTTGGGATCCATGATATTGGTAAAAAAAAAAGCTGAGACTCTACAGGGAGAATATCAAAAGCTGGGGAACAAACTAAAGAATAGAACATCCAAGGTGGTGATCTCTGGATTACTCCCTGTGTCTCGGGCAAATAAATACCATAATGGCAGGATCAAGCATATGAATTCTTGGCTGGAGAAATGGTCCAGAAAAGAGGGCTTCAGGTTTCTGGATCATTGGGACCAGTTCTGGGGCAGGTGGGACCTGTATCATATGGATGAGTTGCACCTAAACAGGGCTGGGGTGAATGTCCTTGCAGACAGGCTATCTACTGCTGTAGGGGAGGGTTTAAACTAGTTTTGAGGGGGGAAGGGAATGCAAAAAACAATGGGCAAGAAAATGGAGAAATAAAACGGGGGGGAAGTGCAGAACAGGTCAAGTCGTTCTTGGAGTGCATGTGCCTAAATGCATGGAGTTTAGCAAACAAGATTGGTGAGCTGCAGGCTCAAGTGGTCATAGGGGGATATGATGTAGTAGCAGTAATAGAGACTTGGCTCAAACAAGGAATGAGAGCTGAATATTCCTGGCTATAATGTATTCAGGAGGGATAGGGAAGGAAAAAAAGAAGGGGGAGTGGCATATTAATCAAGGATACGGTTATAGCCGTAGAAAGGGTCGAGGTGCTGGAGGCCCCAAAACAGAATCTATCTTGTTAGAGTTAAGGAACCAGAAAGGAGCTGTTGCGCTGGTAGAGATATACTATAGACCACCAAATAGTGGGAAGGAAATAGATGAGCAAATCTGAAAGCAGATCTCAGATAGATAGATGCAAGGCCAATAGAGTCATGATAATGGGGGACTTTAATTATCCCAACATAGACTGGCAAAACAACAGCGCAAAGGGCAAGAAGGCGGAAAGATTCCTAAAATGCATACTGGACAATTTTCTTGATCAGTACGTTTTCAGCCCAACAAGGAAGGAAGCAATGCTGGATCGAGTTCTGGGGAATGAAGTAGGGCAAGTGGAGCAGGTTTCAGTGGGAGAGCATCTGGGCAATAGTGATCACAACATCATTAGATTAAGAGTGCATATGAAAAGGGACAAGGAACCATCTAAGGTGAAGATACTCAACAGAAAGTGGGTTAATTTCAGTGAATTAAAAAGGGACCTAGCCAAGGTGGACTGGAAAGATTGGCAAGTAAAACAACTAAAGAGTAGTGGGAAGTCTTCAGGGATGAGATAGCTCGGGGACAGAACAAATACATTCCCACAAAAGGGAAAAGTAGGGCATCCAAACCTCCCTGGATGACAAAGGTAATTGTGTCTAGAATGAAGCAGAAAAAGGAGACGTATGACAAATGTCAAACCCAAGATACAGAATACAACAAAATAGAATATAGGAAGTGCAGAAGAGAACTGAAAAAGGAAATAAGAGGGGCAAAAAGATTATACGAAAAAAGGTTAGTGGGTTACATTAAAGGGAATCCTAAAATATTTTACAAACATATCAAGAAAAAAGGTTAGTCAAAGGTAGGGTGGGGCCAATTAAGGACCAAGGGGGAAATCTTATTGTGGAGGCAGAAGGCATGGCTGATGTACTGAATGAGTACTTTGCATCTGTCTTCACAAAAGGAGTGGATGTACCAAATGCTGCAGTATCGGGGGAGAGGGTAGAGGAAATAATAATAATAAATAATAATCATTGCATTTGAAATGAATAAGATAAGTATAACTCCAGAGGGTAAGCACTGAAAAGGTTGACCTGGCTCAAGGTAGATAAGTCGCCCGGTCCCGACGGGATGCAGCCAAGGTTACTATAGGAAGCATGGGTACAAATAGCGGAGGCTTTGGATACAATTTTTCAATCTTCGTTGGACATAGGGGTGGTGCCAGAGGACTGGAGAGCGGCCAATGTGACTCCCCTGTACAAAAAGGGGCAGAAGGACAAACCTGGGAACTACAGGCCAGTCAGCCTAACATCAGTAGTGGGGAAACTCCTGGAGACTATAATCCGGGACAGAATAAATCTTCACTTAGAAGAATAAGGGTTAATTAGAGACAGCCAGCACAGATTTGTTAAAGGCAAATCTTGTCTAACAAATCTAATAGAATTTTTCGATGAGGTAATGGAGAGGGTGGATGAAGGTAGTGCAGTTGATGTAGCGTATATGGAGTTTCAAAAGGCATTTGACAAAGTGCCATATAAAAGACTT